GTCTCCTGACTTGTTTGCAGCAGAGTTAACCAGGCTTGCATTTCATCTCCACCATCTAGGAAGTTCTCTGACTTCTACGCCTCCAGCCCCTGTGCATCAGGGGGATGGCCCTGGTTCCGACCTCAAAGGGCTAGGTGAGAGTTAGCACGTAGTGAGGTCATATATTTGAGCCCCTTCAGATAGCAATGGCACAAATAGATGCCCACTAAATGTTAGCAGTTATAAGCGTTTGAGTTTCCTACGAAAAAGACCCAACTCTTGTCATGAGCTTCTCTTTGTACTGCTTTACTTTTGAAAAGATGTTCAGAATTCTAGCACTCTCCTCAACCAAGAGGTGATATCTTTGTCACATAATCTTAGGTTGCAGCCTGTACATTTTGAATGATGTGTTAGTTAGGCTCTGGCTTCTGTTAGAATCCTCAGGAGAATATTTGTTTTGTTTTGTTGAAGCAGCCAATCAGGTTCAGACAGCTAGTTCTGTCTTGCCTCCTGTGGGCAGTGATGCCTATGGCAGTTCCGAAGTTCGAGGCAATGGCAGTGAGAGAAGTGAAGTGACTTGGCCAAGGTTACCTAGAAAAGAGAGAGTTGGGCTGGCTGCTAGGCCTTGTGCTTTCTAAGACACACATTTTCTCTGGACTTCACCTTCACCTCTCGGGCTCTCACTTCCCCCTAGACAGCATTGGGCAAGCAAGCATGACCCAGTCTCGTGATGATTCCTTTCTGATCTCTGGCCTTCTCTGGAGCCGACGCTGTCAGTCAGAGTGAAGCAACAGGGAGAAGGCTTCTGTCTTCCCTTCCTAATAGGGGAGTGATCACTCATAGCACAGGAGGGAGACAAAACTAACCTTCTTATAAATAACCACATCAGGTCTCTTAAAGCGAGGAGCATTCAAGGAACTGCCATGCTCTGTACCATTCCCCTTAAGGATGAACACTGGGGACACAGACTGTAATTTATAAGAAACTAAAGGCCTGGTGCACAAAATTTGTGCACTCAGTGGGGAGAGGGGGTGGTCCTTCAGTCTGTCCTCTCACAGTCTGGGAGCCCCATGATTGATTGCCCTGCAGAGGAAGGCTCTGCCCACGGCCACTGACCGGGTAGCCTGGGCCTCCCTCTTTGGGGTGATCACAGAGCCCTCTACCAGTGGCTTGGGCCTTCCTCTGCAGGTCAATCATGGGGCAATGGCGGGCCCCCCCCCCCCCCCCCCGACCAATGGCATCGCACCTGACTTGACAGTGGCAGTCAGTGCTGGGTCGCCATAGCGCCTACGACCCAGGAGGGACCAAGAAGTCAGCAGTTCAGCCCGCTCACCAGTACCCACCCACCTGAACCTGCTGCATATGCAGACTGGCATTCAGTCATCTGTTTGGTCATTTTGGACTTTACAGACCCTGGCTCTTTATATATTAGGATGTGACCCTTCCGGGTGCTTGTTTGTTTTCTCTGAGCTAGTCCTCATTCGGAAAGATTTTCTCTTCCTTTTGTTTACTCAAATCACTTTCCCCTGTTCCTTCCTGAACAGAACCTGTTTTTCTTATTAGAGAAAGCCAGCTGGGTACTGGGTCCCTTGGATGTTAATATTCCTCATATATATATAATGGACTTGCAGTGGGGCTTTGGAGTAAAGTCCTGAATAACAGTGCAAAGAAAGCAGTCTTATTTCTAAATAATGGCCTTTAAAACTGAACCAAAAAAAAAAAAAAAATCCTAACACTGGGAAATTTGTTTTTCATTCTGAGCTTCAAAACAATCAGGCACTTGGCAATGGGTCCTAGGTTTCAAGCCTCCTTACAGATTTTCACAGCTCTGTCCACGGCTAAGGGTGGAGTTTACAGCTCAGAGGCCTGCTCAGGGACCTGCTCAGCTCCCTGGGACTGAGGACAGTGCCTTTGTGTTAGTGCTCTGACCCAGACATGACCTGGCTCACTGTGATATTTACAGTTGCCCTTGGGGTTCAAGGAGAAAATCCCAGGCTGGTCTCCAGCTGTTTCTGTTTGTTTGACTTACACGTCATTACTGAAACTTAACTTACATCCGTAGTGTGTGCATATCTTAAGTGCTCAGCTGGGACTATGTTGACATGTGCACACATGCAGCCACCACCCAGATCCAGATATAGAGCATCTCCACCCCCTGGAAGGGTCTCCCCGCAGCCCATTTATTCCTTGGGATAAGTGCCATTCTGCCTTCTGTCCTCATAGATTCCTTTTGCCTGTTTTTGAACTTTATATAAAAGAAATGCTAAAGGAGATCCTCTTGTGTCTGCTCCTTCTATGCAGCATTATGTCCAGTTGCATCTGGAGCGGCAGTGTCCTGTGTTTCATGGAATGAATCTTCCATTGTCCCCCTGTACAAACATATCCTTGTATCTGTTCCTTTGGGATGGGCCTGTTGGAATGGTCCGTTTCCAGGTTTTGGCTGTTAGAAATGCTGCTTCTATCAACGTTCATGTACAGTCCTTGTTAATGACTGGCATGGCTTCCCTCCCCCTTGGGTGACCTCATTCTAACAGAGTCACTTACCATCACGAAGATAGCTTTTGGAACCTTTGGCTAGAGAGGAATAAACTAGTGACTATTCATAAAGAACTTTAGAATTAAGAGGTCATTTACTTTGTAAAGCAATAGGATTGGTTGTTCAAAATAGTTGCGCAGCCTCAAGCAAGTCATTAGACATCACCAATCATCAGTCTTCTCATCTAGAAAATGTCTATAATGTCAATATTATGCAAAAACGCGGGTTGTGCCTGGCTGGCATGACGCAGTGATTGAGCATCAACCTATGAACCAGGAAAGTCATGGTTCAGTTCCTGGTCAGGGTACATGCCCAGGCTGTAGGCTCAGTTCCAAGTGGAAGGGGCGGGGGACAAGGAGGATGATATGCAGGAGGCCCCCCATTAATGATACTCTCTCATCATTGATGTTTCTATCACTCTCTCCCTCTCCCTTCCTCTCTGAAATCAATCAATAAATATATTTTTAAAAGTAATATAATTGTAAGAATTAGATGGAATAATGAAATAAAGCACCTGAGGGCTCAGGATTAATTGCTATTATTGACTTTTCATCACAATAAAAACAGTAAGGTCAAAGATGCTTTGAAGTTGCATAACATTACTAGCACAACATGACCAATGGAGACCAACTAATGGTTTTAATAACAAAGGTCAAGTAAAAGTGTGATTTTTCTTCTTATTTTATAACTTCTTTTGGTTCAACCTAATCTCTATAGTTATACAAACCTCTTTGTTTAAACAAGCAGATCTTCTGAGTTGGATATGGAAGTGGAACAGAGGAAAACTTGGGCTGGGGAAGCTAATTACTGTGGGGTCAGCATCAACTACAGACATTCTTTTAATTTAGGTTGTGGGAAATTGTTTTCAGTGTTGTGTGTCCAGCTTAGATTTCTGTGTTCTTGGCCTCCTAACAATAGATGATAATTTGGATTCAATGTGATCTGATCCAGTGTCAGGAATTCCAAAGGCCGGAGAGATAACTCAGCATTCTCAGTCATATAAATAAACAGACCCTTGTGCCCCCAATGAAATCAGATTAAAGTGTCAGATATTAGGTGTGATTACTACCCAGGTAGTTTTGATGAGAATAAGCAAGCATTTGATATTGGAGGGCTGACGTGGGAAGAGCAGAGAGCTTATTATTGTAGACATCGTCTGCAGTCTGATCCCCAGTTGTGTGGTCCTGGTCATTTTACTATCGGCCAAGAAGGCTACTCCATTGGACAACTGTTCAAAGGGAGAGAGAGAAATCATGTCTCCCACCTAAAGGTGTTTCCTAACTCTAAACAAAAGCACCCCCCCCCCAAAACTTTTACTTTGAGATCATTTAAGACTTACAGAAAAGTTGCATAAATGTAGTAAGAAATCATGTCTTGTCTTTGCCCAGATTCCCAGAATGTCACATTCGAATCATTCTCCTTCCTCTCTGTGTGTGTTCTCCATCTCTCTCTCTCTCTCTCTCTCTCTCTCTCTCTCTCTCTCTCTCTCTCTCTCTCTCTCTCTCTCCCTCCCTCTCTCCCTCCCTCCCTCCCTCCCTCCCTCCCTCCCTCCCTTCCTCCCTTCCTCTCCTTTTTTTCCGGACCATTTGAGAGATAGTTAAGACATTGTGTCCTTACCCTACTTGTGTATATCCTAAAAACAGAAACATTCTGTTAAAAAATGACAGTAAAATTAACACTGCTTCAGTGTTAACAGTATTACCTGATCTGCAGGCTTGATTCAAATCTAATGCCCCACTAATATCCTTCATAACAAATGAAATAAAGAATTATTTTTTTTGTCCAGAATCCAATCTAAGATAATATGTGTATGTAGTTTAATTTATTTCCTCAGAAAACATTTTAAGAAATCTTGAACCCTTGCTTGTTAGAAAATCCCTCCAATAAAATAATACTTGCTTACCTGTCAACGCAGAGATCCTTGGAAGAGCTGGGTCATAAGAATGTCTCCTAAAACACTTACCTGTGCTTATGGGGGGTGGGAGGGGGCATAAAAGTAGTTAAAATAAATATATTTCATTGCATTGATCATTTAAAAAAAAAAGTTTTATTGATTTCAGAGAGGAAGGGAGAAGGAAAGAAACATCAATGATGAAAGAGAATCATTGATCTGCTGCCTCCTGCAAGCCCCCCACTGGGAACCGAACCCACAACCTAAGCATGTACCCTTGACTGGAATTGAACCTGGGACCCTTCAGTCCGCAGGCTGACGCTCTGTCCACTGAGCCAAACCAGCTAGGGCGCATTGATCACGGTGCAATAGAAACTGGGAACTTTTTAGGGCAGGTTTTTTTCTTGCTGGCTTTTCAGAAGAAAAGGTGGAGTGAAATGCGGCTGCTAAGTTGTGTGGGCTGCGTGAGTGTGACGTTACACCTTGCCCGCCTTCTAACAGGTGCATAGAGCTGCAGGTGTCTGTCCCGGGGAAGCAGAGCTGAGTTTCCTTTCTGCAGACAGTGGAAATCATGCGTCCATCTTTCTTTGGCAGATGTGGTGCTGGAAAAGGCCATGCACAAGTGCATCCTGAAGCCCCTGAAGGGGCACGTGGAGGCCATGCTGAAGGACTTCCACGTGGCTGACGGCTCCTGGAAGCAGCTCAAGGAGAACCTGCAGCTCGTGCGGCAGAGGAACCCCCAGGAGCTGGGCGTCTTCGCCCCGACCCCAGACATCGTGGACGTGGAGAAGATCAAAGTCAAATTCATGACCATGCAGAAGATGTATTCGCCGGAAAAGAAGGTCATGCTGCTGCTGCGGGTCTGCAAGCTGATTTACACGGTCATGGAGAGCAACTCAGGTGAGGCTGCCTCCTCCCAGCAGGGCCGGTGACCAGAGCTTTCTGAGTCCCAAGGTCTCTTTCAATCTCGTGATTCTCACCGAGAGGCTCACAAAAATACAAGCCTTACGCTAGTGTCTGGCAAATTAGTCACATGCAACAGATTAACAGCACCAAAAGCATAATCAAACGAGGGCAACAAGGTATTTGCGATGCCTCAGAACAGCGAATACACGTGCAGTCTCTGTTTAAATCCTAGCTTTGCAAATGAGCTCAGTAACCGGGGGACTTCAGCCGCCTCACGTTGCCTTCTAAGATGCAGTGTCTGCACCTATTGTTGGCTATGACCCTTTCCTTCATGTTAGGTGGGGCAAGGCCTGCATAGCCCCGAGTGCAATGGGAATATCAGCGGTGATCAGGACTACATTTTGGCCAGTGAGGGTTTGTGTTAGTGACCTACAGGTATCAGAAACATAAGGCAATCAGTAATGATGTGTTTCATGACAGCCATGTCACTGGCTCTCCCTTCTTTGCCACAAGCTAAAGCAATGTACTTGGCATTCACAGAGGAGTGGCCATGAGCAGTAAGCCCTGGGACTTCCTGTGCTGCCTCTGGTAGATCGTAGCTGTGACTCATACGCAGTGAGGGAGCCCTGCCTAGTTCTGGGTCTTCGGGGAGCCCGTTGTAATTCCGTGGGTGGCTCCCACCTTTTCCTCTGAGCGAAACTGCTCCTTGGCGAAGGAGCAGAGAGGAAGCACAGGCCCTGCTAACCACACCTTGTGTGTGATGATGAAAATGTGCGTGCATTCACATTGTTGAGGAAAAGATGTTCGTGCATGAGCTCTTGGTCTAGCAATGGTAGCCTGTGAACTTCAGCTCTTAATGCTGCCAGCGTATTTGACGTGTAGAAAATGTATTTGTGTCGTTCATGAAATCACGTCAAAGATCCCAGAAAACACCTGCACAGGGTTATGTTCTTCTAAAACAGTTTCTCAGCCTCAGCACTGATGGCATCCTCACCAGATAACTCTTGGTTGTGGGGGGGAGCGGGGAGGGTCTGTGTGCTTCCTGTAGGTTTAACCTCTGGATGCCATTTGCACCCCCACCCCCCAGTCCCAACACTAAAAACGTCTCTAGATAATGCCAATTTCCTCCGGGGGTAAAATCACATCCCCTTCCCCATCCCCACCCCCTGTTGAAAAGCACCACGGTCATGAAAAATAGCCATAGGACTCACTTTTTTTTTTTTTTTTTTTTTTTTTTTGCCTTTTATTAATCGTGTGGATCTATGCAACACATGCTGAATTCGCACATTTAAATGAATCGGCCGTGGGCTCCCGTGTGGAGCGGAGAGCAGCCTCTGTTCCTGGTTTGAATGTGCTCCTGTCGTTAGGTTTGGGATTGGCTTGCACAGGAAGCGGTAGGAAACAGGACACCAGGGGGTGACATAGTAAGCAGATGCTCTGTAATCTGGCTGGTGGTATTACTTGCTGAAAGTTAAGCGGCTTGAAAGCACTGGGTCCTGTTGCCTGACGCCGTAACGCCTGGGGGTGGTGAAAAAAAACAGCTCTGCCCTGTTCACCTACTCCTGGACGCTCAGGCTGAGGTTGTGAGCTGGGGCCGGTCTGAGGCATGCGCAGCCCGGCGGGTTGTGGGCGACACCGGATTCCAGAAACGCCCACCCCGGTCTGTGAATAGCACATTGCCCCAGGATGACTCCCTGCTGCCTAATATAAAAGCAGTGAGGAGGGGATGAAAGCAAGGCATGCTGGTAAACATGTTCCTGTCCCCCCCTTTCCGCCTACTCCCAGGGAGGATGTATGGCGCCGACGACTTTCTGCCGGTCCTGACCTATGTCATAGCCCAGTGCGACATGCTGGAGCTGGACACGGAGATCGAGTACATGATGGAGCTATTGGACCCTTCACTGCTGCACGGAGAAGGTAGCGAGCTTTCGGGAGGGTGGGGCGAACTGGGGGCTTGGGGCAGATTTTGGTTTTGCTGTTGAGATGAAGTTCACGTAACAAAATCAACTGTTTTCAAGTGAACTGTTCAGTGCCATTTAGTACACTCGCATGTTGTGTAGTCCACCACTTCTGTCTAGCCTCCAAAAATGTACCCCAAAATAGCCCTGGCCCTGTGGCTCAGGTGGTCAGGGCATCGACTTGTACATGAAAAGGTTCCAGTTCGATTGGTTATGGGAAGCAACCAATCGCTGTTTCTCTCTCTCTCCCTTCTTCTCTCTCTAAAAATCAATAAAACATATCTTCAGGTGAGGATCAAACAATTTTAAAAGACATATATAGACCCCCCAAATAAAACCCTGTACGTATTAAGCACCTATGTGGGAGCTTTTTAGAAATCCTAGGATTAGGTTTAATTTTAATTTAAAAGAATGTGCTGACCTTTTTTCTAACAACAAAAGTAATACACAGTCGTTGTAGAAAATTTGGAAACATCAGAAAAACACACAAAAAATGTAACCCTGACATAATTACACTTCACCGAGATGGGTTGATTGCAATTTTTAAAAAAAAATGTTATTCAATAGAATAAGTGGTATTTTGAAAAAAGAAATAGTTTTTTTTTGTTTCCAGAGGAAGTCATAAACATTTGCTAGAGAATATCTCCACTGAAAGGACGTCCTGCTGTTATTTGTTTTTCATCATTTTTTTTTTTAATCGGTGTTCAAGATGAAAACAGCAGTGATTTTCTTTTTTATTTAAAAAAATAGTCTGGCTGTCTGTTAACAAGAAATTTTAACATTTCTGCTCTTAGTAAAAATAAAAAGACAGTGGAGTAGCATCTAAGCAGCTTGTTTTGCTTTATCTAGGCAGTTCAGTTTTTTTCTTGTGCCTGCCTGACACCGACATGTCCTAGCAGACATTCCCTCTCCTTACACACTCCTTAGGAATTTTGCCATGGAAATAAATTGGATGAAAAACAGAAATAACTGGGACTCTTCTGCAGGCTTGTCTTTTTAAAGAACAAATCAGGGCCTGTGCATTGGGAATCCAGCTCATCCATTTTCATGTGTCCCCTGAGTTCTGAATTGTTGCCTATTCTTTTTTTTCTTTTTCTTTTTCTTTTTTTTTTTTTTTTTTTTTTTTTTCCATCTTTTCTCCAGTGACTTTTAGTCCAGGCTTGAGTAAAAGGGTCCTGGGGCTGATAGGATGCCCCAGGGAATGCGTCATACTTGCATTTTCCCCAAAGGGAACTTAAATGTGGTATCATCACCCCCACGACATGTTCCTTAGTTCCCTATTGTTGGCCTTTCTTACCAGGTCTGTCCTCCTCCTAGGAGCCCATAGGGTACACTCTTCCCACCCCTCCAGGGCTAGTGCTGACTCAGGATTAGGGAAAGTATCTTCTATCCCATCCCTCCACCCTAGACAGATATGAATGAGCCTCTTTCATCCCTCTCTCCTCTTGCCTGTTTACTGCCCCTCATTTTCATTCACAACCTGAGCCACCAAGGCCCTGCCTGGAGCTTTCCTTATCTGCTCTGCCATGGGCTTTGACAGGAGGAATGGGGGGCAAGTGGTTTTGTCCAATCATCAAGTGAAGCACCCAGGCCATCATTCTCACATTTTGCATTATTATTACATACTGGAGGCCTGGTGCATGAGTTCAGGCTGAAACCATCTCTCCGACATCCCTACGGTGTTCCGGATTGCTAGAGGATACAGGCCAAGCTGAGGGACACCACAGGTGCATGATCAAGACCGGGAGGGACATGGGAGGTTGGCCAGCCAAAGAGGGATCGTAGGAGGGCTCCAGGGCATGTCCTACCTGTCTCACTCAGTACCGATGGACCATATCCCAGCAACAAGCTAACCTATCAGTCCAAGTGTTTGCTCCCTGGTGGTCAGTGCATGTCATATTGACTGGTCGACTGCCTGCCCCCTGGTGGTCAGTGCATATCATAGCGAGCAGTTGAGTGTCTTTAGCATATCATTAGCATATTATGCTGTGATTGGTTGAACAAATGACTGGACAACCAGACACTTACCATATTAGGCTTTTATTATATAGGATTGCATCATTTTTGTAATGTTGTGTGCATCCAGGTTTGTTGTTGCTTTTAGCTCTGATCGTGTTTAATTCTAGTGATGAGTATATCACATTCTTGGTACTTTAGGGAAAGAGCTTGCCAGTTTCACTCAGAAAATTACCATTTTGTTGCTGACAATGTGTGCTTAGGATAAACACGTGCTTACATCTTGTGGCCCGAGGATCTAGACAGCCAATTCCTGCCACCTTTCCCAGCCTTTCCCCAAAGGAAGACGCTGCCCTGGACACTGTGTCCATGACAGATGAGCAGGTTGCTGTCCTCACCTCCAGGAGTCACACATGAGAGAGACACAAGGGCCAGCTGGTGGACATCTAGAGAGCCTGTGAGCTCATGCCTAACCGGAGCCTGCTTCCACGGAGCTGTGTCCCAGGCTTCTTGGCTGCCTCCCGTGGGCAAGCCGGGCAGCCCAGTCGGCTTGGCTATGGTTACAGACCAGGCCTGCATGTCAGTGAACTGCAGCTATGTGGCCGGCAGCAGGAAGCTGCCTAGCAGAGAGCTACATCATCAGCCCAGCCCTCGAGGCCAGGCCAAGGCCCTTTGCTTTGCAGGGCAGCAGCCCGCATCTCTTCCGCTGCCTCTGCGGGGAGTTCCATTGACGGGAGAAGCATCAGAGAGCCCTTTGCAGTGCACAACTCTTGTGGTGGGATGGTAGTTTTGCTGAAACTTAAACCTTCCTCTAATTGCATTTACATGTTTCAGCGTGTGGTCAGTTTTGTGCTTCCAACATTTTGAGTTTTCTCCTTGTGGCCTGAACAGATCACAGCTATGGAGTCTAAAATTTATATTTTTTCTTTTTTCCCCCATTGGCCTCTCCCAGCTGCTCCCACCCCCTAGCACATGCCCTCAAACCCCCCCCTCCCCCAGTGTCTGTGTCCATTGGTTATGCTTACATGCATGCATATAAGTCCTTTGGTTGATCTCTTAACCCTAACACACACACACACACACACACACACACACACACACACACACCGCCACCCTCCTCTGTCTTCCCTCTGAGGTTTGGTGGTCTGTTCAATGCTTATATTGTCTCTGGATCTATGAAGTCTAATATTTGATGTCCAAAGGAAACACCTTCCCTCCAAAACTTGGTTGTAACAGTCCCTCCAAGTCCCAGCTCTAAAACACCTCTTTCTTGAATATTTAAGTCGGTATTAATTTCTCCTGAAATTCTATGGCATTTAAATCTACTATTGCATTTCCCAGTCCATCGTGTGCTAATTTGTTCTTAGAACAAATATTTAGTAAAAATCAGCTACTCACAGTTCTGAATTAGTGTGTGGAGGTACCTTGGGGAACTTACCCCCAGCTGGTGGAGCATGAAACTACTCAAATAACTAAACAAAAAGCCTCACATGTGATCTGTGCATGGAAAGTGCTTTGTTCAAAGTGGCCTAGATGATGCAGCCATAAAAAATAACCCCCAGTCCTGGCCGGTTTTGTTCAGTGAATAGAGCATCAGCCTGAAGACTAAAGAGTCGTGGGTTCTATTCCGATCAAAGACACATGCCTTGGTTGCAGGCTCGATCCTCAGCCCCAGTCGGGGCGCAAATGGGAGGCAACCGATCAATGTGTGTTTCTCACATTGATGTTTCTCTCTGTGTGTGTCTTACCCTGCTTTCTTTCACTCTCCCTAAAAATCAATGGAAAAATTATCCCCAGGTGAGGGTTAACAAGAAATAAAAATAACCCCTAAATCTCCATCAGTGACCTGAAAACCACAAAGGTGTTCTCTTTCTCGAGTTGCCTGGCCACTGAGATTCACAGGGCTCATTTCTCAGATGGGGGACCAGTTGCCATCTTGACTGTTGTCACTTGTTGAACAGAGATAGTTGTTAGGGATCTTGCATTGGCAGCTAAATACTTTGGCCATGAAATTGGTGCTTCTGCACAAAACCGACTTAACTACAACTAACTTTTGGTTCCTGCATGAATAAACTATCAGTGTCCATTTATTTTAGTAAATTTATAAACATATGGAGAGCTGAGACTCAGACTCTGCTTCCTAACAACCCATCCCCGGCTCTGAACCTGTGTTGGGCTCATTGTAGAGATTCAATAGTGTGTTGACAAAGAATATTTCTCAATTTAAAATGGACATTTACTTTAGCCAGTCTTCTTAAGGTGAAGAAAACTCTTTGTAAATGTCCTAGAGAAATATAGTGGCTTTCTGTTCACCCTTTGCAAGTGGAAAGGGTGGAGCATTCCTCTACTGACATATATAATTTTCAAAATGTGGATGCCCAGTTAGGAAATTTTTAATAAGCATTTGGGGCGGCCCCTAGTGGTTCTAGAGCACAGTGCTTGCAAGTTCCCCAGGAGGCACCAAATTACAGTTGAGGACAAAGCAATGAACACATTTCTGTGTACCTCACAGTGTTGTAGTCTTTTAACATCCCCCAGGCATAAGAAATCATTCCTAAATGCTCCATAAAAGGGACATTACTTGCTTCTCCTTATAAATAATTTTTTTTCCCCCTAAATGTGTCACCTTAGTTCCCAAGTAAGGGTAAGGAAGGGCATCAGGAGGGAGAAGTTCTTTTGAAAAAACCATATTATTGGGAACGCACTTGTATATTGTGCAGTCCTTTCGAAGCATATGTTTTATTTAAAATTTAGAAAATACTAATTTCTACACACACACAAAAAAAGGAAGCCCCAGAAAGTATTGCCAGGAGATATGCAGACTCCTGTTGCCAAAGTAAATGATTCTGGCCTCAGAGCAGTTGACCTCCTCACCCGCACAAGCCTCCCCACCTCCCTCAGGCCCACACAAAGGCTTGACCTTTCTTGGCAAAACGTTTTCACAGTTGCACTTAAATAACTGAGATTGTGGTATGTCTGGCCCATTGGAATGGGAATCCTACCGATGAACACCGGGCATTGTCAGCCAGGGCCACCAGCCAGGGCCGGCGGCGTCCCCATCCCCGGCACAGGATGGGTCACCCGGTACATCGGGGGGAATGCGTGAATGGACAGACGGAGGTGAAAAGGACATGCCCTTGGCTGTGTGCTACCGTGGTCCCACAGGGCATGCGTGAGGGAGAAACGGAGAAAATGCAGAGCACAGCCTCTACACGTCCCCTGACTCGTCACCAGAGCAGGACCCTCGGAGACTCACTCTTTCTGTCCTTTCTAGGTGGCTATTACTTGACAAGCGCCTACGGGGCACTTTCTCTGATAAAGAATTTCCAAGAAGAGCAAGCTGCAAGACTGCTCAGCTCCGAGACCAGAGACACCCTGAGGCAATGGCACAAACGGAGGACCACCAACAGGACCATCCCTTCCGTAGACGACTTTCAGGTGCGTGGCCAGCGATGGTGACGGGGCGAGGGGCGGGGGCCTGCTTCCTTTGTCCGCAGCCGCCACGGTTGAGCTGGCTCCCGGGGCGCCCCGAGCTCAGGGCGCCTGAGGTCCCTCTTTTGTCAGAGCATCCGGCGGAAGAGATATTTTAAACCACCCTCTGACCCCGTTGTTTCACTTCTCTGTTTTGCTTATAATAATAATTTTTTAAAAACTTATAAATATATAAGTTTTGCTGCCCTTAAGAAAACAAAGTCAAATTGGGGCGGGATTTCTAGCAGAGTGTGCAGCATGAATACTGAGCCCTAAACAGACAGGAAATCAAGAAGGAAGCTCTTTGGCACAGGTGGCAGGTTTTTTATTTCATCAGAAGATTGAGAGGAGCCCTGGCCAGGTAGCTCAGTTGGTTGGAGTATCGTCCCAACATGCCAAGGTTTTCAGGTTCGATCCCCAGTCAGGGCTCATACAAGAAGCAACCAATGAATGCATAAATAAGTGGGAAAACAAATCGATGTCTCTCCCTGTCTTTCTTTCTCTTTCTCTCTTTCTCTCGCTCTCCCTCTCCCTCTCTCTCTAAAATCAGTAAATAAAAATTTGCCCAGCTGGTGTGGCTCAGTGATTGAGTGTCGACCCAGGAACCAAGTGGTCATGGTTAGATTCCCGGTTAGGACACATGCCCAGGTTGTAGGCTCCATCCCCAGTAGGGGGCTTGTAGGAGGCAGCCAATCAATGATGTTCCTCTCTCATCATTGATGTGTCTATTTCTCTATCCCTCTCCCTTCCTCTCTCTCTCTAAAAATTAATAAAAACATATTAATTTTTTAAAAAAAGACTGACTGAGCCCACCTGAGGGTGTAGGGGGGAGTGCAGTAATGCCTTCCCTTCTCCCCTTCCTCTTTCTCCACCCATCTCCCCGCAGAAAGGAAGACACCAGAATCCCTCTGGCAGCATCAGCTCTGGTGGCTGGTCAGGTGCTGCTTAGGTCGCTGTCTGGAATATTCCATGACTATGAGTGGGTGCCCAGGAATGTGAGGTTCTCTTGTTTCTGAGAGAAGAGAGGCAGATTAGGGTGCTAGAAAACTTTACCCGGCACAACAGCCCTTGATTTGCTCATTGTCTATGAAATTACGAGTCAGTCTGCAAGTGTGTTTGAATCATATTTTGCAAATTCCAAGTCATATTATAAAACTCAACTGTGCTTTGTTTCTCTGTGCCATGTGGTGGACTTTTAAGCAGGACAGATTTGTCCATGTTCGCATTCAGATTCGCCTTCCTTGCCTTTTCTGAAAATACTTAAAGGTTCATGTGGCACAAAGTAAGCCCTTCATGGAAAGGCAAGATCTTCAAGGTCTTCTCTAAGATAGCAGTGTTCTCAGAAATTCCCTCCTCCATCTAAAAAGCAAGAACAGCCCTGACCGGTTTGGCTCAGTGAAGGTTCCCAGGTTCGATTCTAGTCAAGGGCATGTACCTTGGCTTCGAGCACATCCCCAGTAGGGGGTATGCAGGAGGCAGCTGATCGATGTTTCTAACTCTCTATCCCTCTCCCTTCCTCTGCAAAAAAATTAATAAAATCTATTAAAAAATAAAAATGAATAAAAAGCAAGAACACATACCGCATGTTCCCCTGCCCCTTGGGCTGTTGAAGAGCTGTCAATGTGTTAAGTGGCTTTGCATATATAGGCCCTTAGGATACTGTGGCTGCCTGTCCCTGGAGGGGGCTGCTAAGGCTGCCCACCCTCTGAGGAGAGGAACAGAAGAAATAAGAAAAGCTCATTCATCCATCTCCCTACATGCCACCAGCCACTCCTCCTGCCCCCTCTCTCCAGCTGGAATTTCTAACCTGGAGATCCTCAGCGGCCACAGGGCCCCCTTCCCTCTTCACACTCCCTCCACTGGCCCTGCTTACCCAGGAGGTGGAGCACCTTAACATATAACCAAGCCGAAACCGGTTTGGCTCAGTGGATAGAGCGTCTGCCTGCAAACTGGAGGGTCCCGGGTTCAGTTCCAGTCCAAGGCATGTACATTGGTTGCGGGCACATCCCCAGTAGGGGTGTGCAAAAGGCAGCTGGTCGATGATTCTTTCTCATCAATGTTTCTAACTCTCTATCTCTCTCTCTTCCTCTCTGTAAAAAATCAATAAAATATATTTTTAAAAAAACACACACCACATACACAAACACACACAACAACATATAACCAAGAGGGGAATTATTAGCACTTAGTTTGGATGTAAAAACAAAAACAGAGACACTTGGAACTCCTAAATCAGGGGTCACAGACACACACACAAGTCTCCTCACCAGAGAAGCAGCACGCAACAGTGGTGAAGATACCGGGTCTGGCACTCATGGGCTGTGTACAGGCCTTGGACAAGTTGCTCAGCCTCTCTGTGCCTCAGCTTCTTCACTAGTCAAATGCAAAAAACGTAAACTTTGACCAAGTCCTCTTCCGGAGTCAGAGAGTAAATGGATACCAACTGTGTGGGCCGTGTGTCCGGGTGGAGATGGGAGAGGAGGGGTTTGGTAATATGGAGGATGTGTATTGGCCGAGGTTCTGATTCCAGCGTGTCCATTACCAGTGCAGAGTGCACAGTCCTTCCCTCTGGTGGAGCTAGCCCTTCCAACATCCCAGTGAGCTCTCCTGGTAACCATGGAGACCCTGGAGAGCAAGCACCACTTCCCTTCGCCCCTGAGAAAGTTTAGAAAGGGGAATTGTTTTAAGCCCGAGAAAACAATTTCATCTGGGAACCCCATTCCTAAAGAAGAGGACTCGGAGGAAGTTGTTCAGAGCCACGGAATCTCAGAGGGCCTGCTGTGCGTGCAGGATTCTTTCCGCCCCGTCAGGGCTCTGCGTCTGACACGGGAGGCGTGCTGTATGTTGTGATGGCGTGCACCTGGCCCTGTTCACAGAGCCCTGCCCACAAACCTCTCCCCTACGCCCCCCCAACCGCTCTGCACTCGGCTCCATCTCCAAAGCCTTTTGGGAGCATGAACGTTTTCCTCCTGCTGGCTTTTTCCATGTTGCACCGAGAGCCATTGTACTAGATTGAACCATATGCCATCGCCATGCGGGGAGGTGAAATGGTCAGATACTGTCAGTATCCCATGGTTCAACCTAACATCATTGCCCTCATGAAAAGTCATCCAAAACAAGTCGTACATGTGCCCTTGTGTCCACGTATGTCACACGTCTCTTCCTGCGGACTCCTGCCCCGGGCTCTTCCGCCCTGTTTGTTTTTCAAGCTGGGAATCCACCCAGTATCGGGTCTGGCTCACTCCCTTCACCAGGGATTGCTTGCCCAGGGTTCATGAAGGACACTCAGGGATCAGACCAGCTCGGTGAACTTCCTGCTCCTTATATGTGTAAGGAATTAAACTGCAACCACTCGGTCCACATTGTGGCTCCCCCACTGCCCAAATTTAGCTCGGCCTCTGTGCGTGCACTCGGCCGCCTCACATCCTGGCATGATCTGGAGGAGCCGGAGCCTGGCGTGAGGAGTGGCTTGCAAGATAGACGGCTCCCTCGCAGCTCATCACGCTCACTTACGGCTGCTCATTTCCCCCTTCTCACCCACTCCCCCCACCCCCACCTCTCTCTTTCCACCTGCAGAATTACCTCCGCGTTGCCTTCCAAGAGGTCAACAGTGGCTGCACGGGAAAGACGCTCCTGGTGCGGCCATATGTCACCACCGAGGACGTGTGCCAGCTGTGTGCCGAGAAGTTCAAGGTGGGGGACCCCGAGGAGTACAGACTCTTCCTCTTCGTCGATGAGACGTGGCAGCAGCTGGCAGAGGACACCTACCCTCAGAAAATCAAGGCCGAGCTGCACAGCCGGCCCCAGCCCCACATCTTCCACTTTGTCTACAAGCGCATCCAGAACGACCCTTACGGCATCACATTCCAGAACGGGGAGGAAGATCTCACCATCTCTTAGGAGACTCAGGACGCTCCAGTGGTTGGGAACCTCGCCCTCCGAGTGCCTTTCCCGTGCTTGTGCTGGAAAAGCAGGCACCTCCGTGGAGACCCTTTCAGTTTAGGGACTAAACCATCCACGGGCAGATTTGACCAAGGGCATCTTTAGCCATGTTGCCCAAGCCAGGTAGCTGAGGTTTGTGAAACTGGAGGCTTCTCTCCCTCAGAGATGGGGAGTTGAATTGGATGGTCTCAGTGTTCTAAAAGTGTTTGCTGCCTATCCGCAGCCAGGCTTACAGACGTGTGCATGTGTTTAATAAACATGTAAGGTACAAGCTCTTCTCTTGAATTCATTCAGCAGCAGGTGTCTGACAGGACTGGCTGATGCAGTGCGTAAAGTACTTCTCAGTTCTGTGGATGGCTTCCTCCTTTCATTCTTTTTTCCTATTCTTTTTTTTTTAAATATATTTTATTGATTTTTTTTTTACAGAGAGGAAGGGAGAGCTAGAGAGCTAGAAACGTCAATGAGAGAGAAACATAGACCAGTTGCCTCTTGCACACCCCCTGCCGGGGATGTGCCTGCAACCAATGTACATGCCCTTGACCGGAATCGAACCTGGGACCTTTCAGTCCGCAGACCAACGCTCTACCGCTGAGCCAAACCGGTTTCGGCTCTATTCTTTCTTGTTTTTTTTGTTTTTGTTTTATTTTACAAAGAGCCTTTGTGTTTTGTTTTTATATATATTTCATAGAAATTTTATAGCAGTTGCAGGTAAACTGTCAGGAATGGTTTTTAAACTATTTTTGTAACTTTAAGATATTCTATAATGATGCATGTGATTTTAACATTTAATATTCCAAAAGAAATCTCTTGCTGGATTTGAGAGCCATTGCATTGTGTAAGCCCCTCCTCTGTAACTGGATGTCGCGGCAGCTCTGTGGGGAGAGGCTGCTGGGTTTCGTAGAGCAGTGTGTTCCTGACACTGGCCGCAGAATGCCGTCGGAAGTCTGACGTACTGTTCCCTTGTTCACGCTCCGGGAGATTGTGCCTGTTTTTGCGTTTTAACCAAGTGATGCTGAGGATCAGGAGAGACAGGGATGTAGAGAGAGAGGTCGAGAGAGAAACACAGACTCTAACAAAGGACTGAGGCGTGAGCCTGCTGGTTCAGGCTCCTTGAAGGAAGTGAGAAAAGAGGATGGAAGAGCCACCTGTGCTGAGAATACCATAAATAGACAGAGAGATTTGGCAACGTTTTTTATGTTGTTTGTCTTTGGAAACAATTTTAAAAGCTCCACAAGGAAAGAAAGAAAAAAAAATAAAGATAACACTGTTATTTCCCTTTTCCATGTAAGTCAAAATTAGCAGCATTGAATGGTTTGGGGCAGAGACCAAGTCATGTGTATGATGGCGTTCACGGAGGTTAAGTAAGATGCTGTTTGGAAAAGAGTCTGCAAATGCACCCAAAGGCCATCTGCATTGTAAGAATGCGTGGCGAAGTAAAGTCATGTTCTGTGAAACCTGGTTGGGGTGGGAGGTGGTGCTCAAAGTATGAGGGTCGTGTATCCACGTAGCACAGGGAGCTGCAAAAACACGTTACTGTTCTGTGCAGAGATGCGTGGGCATCTGACCTGGTTGGCTTTGTACCTTGTTCCTTTGTTAGCTTTTGTGATACGCCCAGAACCCACAGCACATGCTGTGTTATACTTCCTTTTGTAAATGATTTTTTTAAATGGAATTTTGCACATAATACATTGTAATACTGTACGATAATCATGTGTGAAAATAATTTTGAAATATTCTTTTGTCGCCTGTTTTTCTTCGAGAAGCAGAATGTAATCGCGCGCCACATCCTGGGATGCCAGTCAGAAACCCACGCTGCTGTTTGTGGTTTAGATAATCTGCAGAGAGGAAACAGAAGACTTTACCTGTTCAGCAGCTTATGTACTGACATGAGGCAAAAACCAAGGAAAAGGGTGCTCTAAGCAGAAAGGATTTTCAGTGTTGCCCACACAGTGATGGGCGTGGTTGAACCTAGAGGACAATCACAGTTTGTCAAACTGGCCCCATAGACCACCTGCCCATTGTTTGGCAACTTCTGAGGTGCCCTGGCTGAGCGTTTGGTGCTCTTGCAAAATCTGGGCAGAGGCTTGGTCTTCTTTGCTGCTATATTCCCGGTGCTTGGAGTCCTGCCTGAACCATTAGAAGTGCTTGGTAAGTCCTATGTCTGAGCAAACCTCCTAACCCAGTAGGATGAGTGAGTACTTCAACACCAGACGTCCTGCTCTTTGCATTTACAGAGAATCAAAAACGACCGTCAGCCCACAGAGTGGTGCTCCCCGCCCTCCGAGTTAAGGTCACCGAGTTGCTCTTGTCCTTAGAAATCCGTACTCTGCCGTCTTAAAGCAAGTCACAACATCTGAATGGGAGGCAGTCTCAGCAGCCTTCAGTGAGAGGACAGGGCGATCCAAATAGGAAACGTTAGTGTGAGCAAAAGGAAGCATCACAAGACCGCGCCTGGTGTTGCCATTGGGCAATGTTTCCCTGCTAAAATTACAAGATCACATGTGTCTTCACTTTTTTCCCCCCACGCAGACATTTCTCAGTTCTTCAAATTGTCAGGAAACAGATTTTGGAAGTTTGGAAGGAATAGAAAGGAGAGTAAAAATATACATGCTGGTAGACAGAGAGGAGAATGCATTCCAGATCTAAAACTGTGTTCTAAAAGTTGAATGCCGGCCAGAGGAAGGGATTTTTTTTTTTTTTAATCTTGCATGCACTGCCAAGGATCCCCCTGTGGGGACCCATAGTAGAAATAGAAACTGTGAATGTGGTTTATGTCATGTGAAAGTTACAACTTGCGATCTATAAGAAAACACAAGAGGCAGGAAGCCCAGCCATGAATGCTTCCATTCATAAATGTGCCCGAGAGCACTAGGATTATTAGCCACACGGCCTGGGTACTCCCCTAAAGTCTGAGAGAAATGTGTCAGTACCTGGGACACAGGTATTTTAATCATCTGGCAGTATCTGATAGTAAAACCCTAAAGGAAAAAAACATGGTCTTTCAGATCATATTTGAGAACACACCTGTTGCTCATTTACTTAGCCCTGATCAAGTAGGGGATCTGAAAAAATTCACATTGCAAAATTAAAAACAGATTTGAAGATATGGAAGGAGGGAGAAGGAAAATAGCGTTTTGCCTCTGAGAAGAGGTTCTTGTTTGAGAAGGACCTGTTTTTCTCCAGTATCTGAGGACCATGGGCAGTTGACACAAGCGTTTGCCACATTAACACTGACTTTGCCTCGAGGAAAGGCCTCGAACATTGAAATTGCTCAGAAAAGTCTGCTTTTGAATAAAGTGATAACCAAGTTGGGCTCTGAGACCGCAGCTCTGGGGGGAAGTCTGTGCACAAGTTCTGGTCCAAGTGCGGCTGTTGGAGGAATGGGAATAGCTTCTTCCTTTATTCTGATAAACTAACATTCCTAAGCGGGCTTTGCCTGCATTCTGAGATTCCACATAACAGACATTCATCCGATACATGAATCTGAGATGTCCTTTGACTAAGTGCTCTAGAACCACTGCCATCGGCTCTCGGTATTCAGCCTGGAGGGCGAAGGGGGCCTCTGACCAGGGGTGGCCAGGGCCAGGCTCAGGAAGGCTGAGGATTTCCTCCAGGTCTGCCTCTCAGCCCGCCGCGGGGTGAGGGACTGGGGGTGGTTTGATCTCTGTAGCCAGCCCTTGGTTTCCTGGGGGAAATCGCACCTCATACGGAGGCAGTTTTGGGCTGTGGCTTCCCTTTCCCCTCATGTAGCTTCATCCGTTCCCTCTCCCTCACTTCTCCCCCTGACTCTGTAGGGCAGTTTCCCTCACACTAGTGTTCAAGGAGAGCCATTACGAGGCTCTTCGCCAAAAGCAGGGCTCTGACTTGCCACGTCCTTTTCACAACCTGTTTTCTCTAATTTCAACCAGAGATGCAAAGCTTGATCAGGCCCCAATGCAAACACTCCCACCTGCCCGTCACCAGGACTGAGTCCACTGCTCCTATTTGGATCCGGTTCTCAGCTCTGCTAATGCTTCAAGACACCTACAGGTTTGTAAAGCTCCTGAGGCCCAGGCTGCCCAGACCATCAACATCAGGCTGCCATCGTTACTAAAACTTCAAGGTGTCCGCGTTGGTGGTATAGTGGTGAGCATAGCTGCCTTCTAAAACTTCAAGGTGACCCTACTGCAAAATCAGGCCTGAGAACCAGCTGGGTCTTAACATAGAAACACATCTGGGAGAGGTAAGACCTGTCTAGGGCCACTAACACCTAACCATGTGGAGGGTCTCCATCTTATTTCTTTATTTTTTTAATATATGTTTATTGATTTCAGAGAGAATGAGAGAGAGATGGAAACATCAATGATGAGAGAGAATCATTGATCGGCTGCCTCCTACAGGCCCCACACTGGGGATCAAACCTGAAACCCAGGTATGTGCCCTGACCTCTAGGAATTGAACCATGACCTCTTTGGTTCATAGGTCAATGCTCATCCTCTGAGCAACATCAACTGGACTTAATCTTATTTCTTATTCGGCTGGCAGAAGTACTTCTAGCATGGCACTGTTCTATAGAAATATGCAGCAAGCCATATAAGTCATTTAAAATTTTTACAGTAGACACATTAAAAAAGGAAAAACAGGTAAAATAAACAGTAATATATCACTCTGGTAATAAAATTTATTTTAGTAATATACTAGAGGCTCCGTGCATGACATTCATTCACTGGTGGAGGAGGGGTCCCTTAGCTCGGCCTGCACCCTCTCACAGTCTGGGACCCCTTGGGGGATGTCTGCCTGCCAGCTTAGGGCCAGGGGGGATCAGGCCAAAGCCAGCAGTCAGACATCCCTCTCCTAGTTCAGGACCCTCACACCTTACTGCCTACCTGCAGCTGAGGCAGGAGAGGCACTGACTACCAGGCATTGAGCATCTGCCCCCTGGTGGTCAGTGTGCTTCATAGTGACCAGTCGTCTCACTGTTCAATTTGTATATTAGCTTTTTATTATATAGGATTAGTAATCTACTTTATTTAACCCATGATATCCCAAATACACTATTTCAAAAATCAAACTAAAACAATAAAGAGGTATTTTACATTGGTTCATTTTTTAACATTGTCTTCAAAATCTCGTGTGTGCTTTGCACTCATAGCATATCTCATTTCACATTAGTCCTATCTCCAATGCTCATTACCCCCACGTGGTTAGTGGCTACCATTTGGACAGTGCAGTTTTAGCATACTAACTAGAAATGATTTTAAAAGCTAAAACAAATAATGATATCTCCTATAT